TCAAATCCGGCGTTCAACAGGAGTTTGATGGCTCGTTGGAAAACGATTTCTTTCAGAGGATTATTTATTATTTATTTGAATCCGTAAACACTTGAATCCCTGCTTTAATGGAACAAAAATAATTTTGATTTTGCTTTGTATATAAAACAAATTCTTAACGGCGAAATACAAAGAAACGAAGGTTTTGTAACACAATTTGAGTTTTTTTTACATGCATGATGTAAATTTAAGTGTTCAAATTTGGATAGTGTACGGCCTTGAAAATTGAAGGACACACATTTGATATGTGATTTTCTTGGACAACAGGATGGTTATCTTAATAGATATTCCACTCTAAATAGGAGGGTAGTATGATCGTTTGAAAATAAATATTCTGAACACTAAATAAAATAAATTGAGAATGGAAACGGGGAATGCGTCGAAAACAGCCCCAGGCCACCAATGGGTCTTTAACACAGCGAGAAAAAACAGTAATGTATACTAGTTCAGCTAATGGACGTCACACTAAACTCCGAAACATATAAATGAATCAAAAGTAAAAAACCATGCAAGACTAACAAAGACAAGAGGTTCCTGACTTGTGACATGCGCAAAAAAACTAAATGTTCATTATAAAGCAAGAGAATTAGACAAATATATATGCATGCAGAATCGCCCTAGAAAATGAATTCCCATAAGGCGGAAAGGATCACAATAATAACGCGTTAAAAATCTTTTTACCCCTCCATGTAACTATTATACTAAATATAAATTAGTATAATAGTCCCAGGCCATCTAGAAAATACAATAGTGATTATCTTATCAATAATTTTATAAATAAACGGTTCTTTTATCTCTCCATTGTGTAATTGTTATTGTACATTGACAAATGTTCAAAATAAAAAAAGATAAGAAGATGTGGTATAATTGCCAACGAGACAACTCACCACAAAAGACCGTTCTACATTTTAGTGACGTTGGTCAAGTATATAATTGTCAATTGCAATATGCAGGGGTGGATCGAGGATTTTTTAAAGGGGAACGTAATTCATATTAAATCGTGAAAAAAAAACATGATATAATAATTATTTCTATCTATCAAAGGGGGAAGGGGCGTACTCCCTCTACACACCTTGGATCCGCCTCTGATATAATATAAATATATCGCATACCATCATAAAATTTAATAAAAAAGAGAAAACAACTCAGTCGCGTATTTACTATACAGACGCTGTAATCGAATGAGTTAAGCCTTTTTCAACTGATTTTTATCGTTTGTTCTTATGTTGTGCTGATATACCACATTTCTGTTGTTTTTTTTTTAAGGGGGACGATAACACGTTCAACCGCGCCATTCTTTTTGTGCCAGTCCCGAATCCAGGAGCTTGTAATTCAGTGGTTGTCTTTTGCTGCTTTATATCATATTTGTTTTTGGTTTTTTATTTTGTTCATAAATCAGGTCGTTAGTTTTCTCGTTTGAATTTTTTTTACATTTTTCATTTCGGGGCTTTTTTCATTATTTCTCATTGTTGGATGCCATGCGGTGACCTATATTTGCTCACTTTTACGTCATTTGGTTTCTGATTGAAAGTTGGCTCATTTGGAATTTTTCACGAGGTAAATGGCCACTTGACTGTTCTAAATAAGACGAAGATATAGTGACGTTAATAAGTTGCAAACCAACTTGTATTCACATTGAAAATACATAATTGTAATATACATTTATTTCAAATGTTAACTTGAAATTTCCCACAGCTATGTTATGTGCGTGCTCAAGTGTTAAAACTCGCATTAGTACGAGTAACACAGTATATATAGTACCAGAAAATTTAGCGGGTTTGCATGTATGATTAATTCGTGCAGAATAGTATAGACTAAAGTCTTTTTTCTGACTGTCCGTCAATGAATGAATGAATTAGTAAATGATAGTAAATATATTGTAAACATAGCGTATAGTATAGTAAAGCATACTAGCTTTACTCTTTTGATAAACACAATCATACCACATCTTCTTATTTTTACATCATTACATTATTATAGAAAACAAACAAACATCATAATGTTATAAAAAAATTAAGGTAAGTGCACGCTATAAAGTATTCATATTCCATTTATACTTAGTTCGAAGATAAGTGCAATAAGGTAAACGTATAGCATTCGAAAAATGTGTACTCCCTAAGTTCCCGTTTAAAATTTTAACACGCCAGGTTTGTTTTACAATAACATCTTTATGGCTCATATATTTAATTTTTGTGGACGGACAATGTTCAGATCCGTGTTAATTGCTTTGCATAAATTTGTGGCTTCAAAACAAAACAAAACTGGGTCCTATAGGTGTCAGACCACCGATTCAAAATCCCTATCCAACCAAATTTTGCAATTTTCACAGCTTTCTAAATATTTTACCTTAAGTTTAACTTCATAGAAACCAGGTATAACCTGAATTGTACATGTTTCACCTTTCTGCGTGCCAATTTTCAACCTTTCTACATGCCAATTTTCAACCAATGTTTAAAGTCTTGTAGCGAAATACTAACGCTCAGAAGACAAGAACTGCTACAAATAACCCTTGGTCTTTTAAATAAGTATACTATGGAGCGCATTAATCCTCAACTTTTAATGTAAACTCATGGACAAGTAAATTTTGACTCAAAATGGTCTACATATATTTCTCTTTCAACAAAAGTTTCATTTCTGCAAATTTGTTGGTTAGTAAACAATGACATCAAAAGCACTATTTTTTGTCAGGGAAGGGTTACTTTTACATACGTTCTAAATTGTTGTTGGTGAATTGGTGGTCTGACACCTAAACAAAGATAAAACCGGGCCCTTATGTGGTAAACAACATTTACAAAACCGTGTTCTTCCATTTTGACATGACCCATTTCTTTCGTTCCATGCACAGAAATACAAATAATGAGGTGCTCAAAGTGACTAGTCTTGCAATCTCCATGATAATATCGTTCTTTCCGTACCTTTCTTTTCGTACAATGTGCACAATTTAAAGAGCAATTTAACAAATTCGAGGCAAGGTTCACTCATTTCACTCAATTCCTCATTTTGATGTGCTTTTTGACTTATTTCTCAATTAATCGAGAACGGTTGTAGAAAACATCTCACAATCGTAAACAGTTATATGTGTATGTATATTCTTCAATATCATAAAAATAACAAATAAATAAACTGAAAGCCTACCGTTCTCTGTCTGTTGATGGTCCGTCACCGTACCGGACGTTAGATACTATTGAATCCAAAAATTTCTTGCCGGGGTAGTTTATACACAGTGTTAATTCTGGTCAAGAACAGATTAACAATTAATGCGGCAGTTTAAAAAGTTCTCGTCCTGAAACAGGCCACCTGCGGACTCCTGTGACACTATCCCTACACGAGGCATCGAATTTAACGTCCATTTTCTGTCTATGTATATATACCACACACACAGCTAAACGGACACCCCTCTAAAGCATTGGTTTTACTACCAGAAGGGAGAAAACTCTAGACCCCGGTCACCCTTAATATCTAAACCCAAAGAAGGCCGTAAAATGAAAACAAAAACATTGCAAAGGCAATCATCAAAACCCAATTATACCAACCTGGACTTTGAATGGAAACGACTTTAAAACACAATATATTACTTGAATGTTTCGTCATAAAAAAATCTTCTGCCATATCGAACGGCAAATAATGATGTTACAGACTTGGAAAACATTTAGTTATGGGTATGACTATTTTTTTTTCTTCTAATTTTCTCTAATTATTATGATATTAATTGACCTTTAAACTTTTATGAATGCGTCTTAATTCTGCCAGTTCTACATCTGCTGGTCTAAAGCTCGGATAAAAAGGAAGGAAGACATGACACACAAAAGCTCAAATGTCTTGTGGAAAAAGCATAAATGTCATAAAATTCCATCCACAAATGTCAATTACAAAAGGTATGGATGTGCTATCAAACAGCGCATCAGCCTGCGCCGTACATGACCGACTCTATTTGATGTTAATAACAGTATATGTGTTAAGAGGCAGGAGTAAGATCTTGGTACGCTTGAAATGCAATAAATATTGTTGAAAAACTCTGGGAAATAATTTCTAACCGGAGATTTTTGAGAAGCAATTAATCACATTCTTAAAAGGCAATTCATATAAAATTGCGTTTGAACACATAGTAACATACGCTTCAATATTTCAAGTTGCCATAGTTTTGTCAGGTTTTCTTCGACTTAAAAGATATAATTGTCTTTTTGGTGACTTCGGTCTTTTTTCCATTTTTTTTTTGGAGGGGGAGGGGGCTAAAAATGACTGTAATTGCGAGAATAGTCACTGGATAATACGTATGTATAACGTTCACAAGATCATACCATTCGAGGATTATTATGCCCTCCGCCGTCATCGGAGGGACATTAAGTGTTACCTTTTTCGTACGTCCCAAAACTGGTTTCCGTTTTCTAACTTTAGTTGACTCTACCAAATGTTATGATACTTATGCACAATGTTTATTACCACAAAACTCAGATCAAGTTCGAATTTGGGTGGTGTCACTTACCGATCTCGCGTTATACCTCTTTATAACGTTATATGGAAGCGGGGGCATCATATGTGTCCCATGGACACATTCTCCATTTTTTGTACTACGAGTCAATGTTTTCTCAACATTTAAGTTAACTGCTGATTGGATCTTTTGCAGCATGCTGGAAGCAAAATACAAATCTATGATATGTATCAGTATTCTTGTAATATTTCTTGACCCATTCAGAAATTGGTGAGAAACATATGGTTCGGTATTGGCTGATTTGCTTTGCTGTAATTTTTTAAAGTATAAAGTTTCAAACTCAGTAAAACAATGAATGCTTAAATAACCAACACCCATGATAACTATGCTTGTTCAGCATTTTTTTTTTTGCCAGCTGTGCATGTATCATTTATCAGAGATTAGATTTCCTTGTATTAAATTTTAGCCAATAGAATAAAACCATGTTTAAAAAAATGAAAACAACACCTTATAATTTTCATGTGTTCTGTTTGTTAATGTTTTTTTAAATAGAAACAAGCCTTTCTATCGAAAATAAGATGTCGCGATTGTGGATACTGTTCATTTTATGTTCGTTACCATACGGGTTCACTGTCAGAAAAAACTGTCATTCACTATGGAAACAGCTTGAAAGTTGCATATCTGGGAAAGGTGTGTTTAAAATTTTTTTTTTAGAAAATTTGTTAAGCGTAAAGTGATATTCCTTAAACACAACATATAGTTGTCTTCTTTTTACATATTTAATGTCTAAAATATGAGTAAAACGAGGTTCGGGGTAGATACGTTAACGAGACAACAGTAAAATCAGACAATACATGCATCTTAATTGAAGTTAATAATAGTTTATTTTTTTAGGCAAGCGGGACAATTATTTCTATTGTTGAATATAATGCTTTTTTTTTTTTTGCTTAGTATTGAAAATAGAACATTATTTCAATGTAAACACATATTGTTTCATATTATCTAAATTAAATAACACCTGTATACATGCGAGGACCATACCGTTTGAGAAATGTACAATGTACCATACACACACGCATACATGCTGACAAAAACATACAAACACAAAGACAAATACAATATTGAATATTGACATGCATCTATTGACTTACATGCAATTAACAGTGACATTTAAATTTTTTCAGGTATAGAAGTGAAGTCAACACAAAGTAGATCAATAGCCTTTTCGGCAACACGGACGACAGACATTACATTGTCTTCCTTGCAAACACTGGTATTTGACAAAGTTTACTTAAATGAAGGCGGAGGATACAATGCACACACCGGTCTTTTTACTGCTCCTGTAAATGGAATGTATTACTTTGCGGTTTCTTTCCTTGCAGTAAGAGGAACCACTCACTTAATGTTGTTAAAGAACAATCATGAAGTCTCTCGTGGCTATGGAAATAGCCACGATGAAACCGGGTCTATTGTTTCGACTGTTCTATTGAAAAGGGGAGATATCGTAAGAATAGCTGAGATGACTGGAAGAGGCCGTGATAGAACTCGTGGAGATGGTTGGAGTAGTTTTACTGGGTTTAAATTTAACTGAATTTTTTTTAGATTAAACAAATGAAGTTGAATGTCTTTCTTTTAATTTTAGTATAATACGATCCCAAGTTGACTACGTACTGTTTTGTCATTAAAATATGAATAATTTGTAGTAATTCAAAATTTAAGTGATGGACGTAAATTCTGATACTAGTAATTCCATGCTAACTTTGACTACTTGTTGACAAATTTCTTCAATACCTTTTTATCTTTTCATTTTGTCATTGTCTATTGTAATTAGGAGTCCATCGTTGTTCGTCGTCCTTCTTTATTCATACCAATAGTATTTTTTTTTCAAGCTTTGCGACTATTATCCTTGGGCTTAGCATGGGAAACCCCTGCTCAATTTTTCTGTGAATGGAGATACTAACTTTAAGTTTGAAACTCTTTTTTTACCTTATTATAACGTCTAAACACAACTAGTTATACTACTTGAATATAACCACACATACTTGTCATATACATTTTTTTTTTGGAAATATTTAGGCGAGTTGTACCTTGTTGATACCAAATACTTATCACAACATTAATATAATAACTTTATCCCAAATGACTATACCGCAAACAATTGAATACATAAGGATGTACAAAAAGGTCATTTTAGAAATAAGAAAATACTAATCCAATTATCGCATTTCTAATCTAAGAATTATCTGTTTTGTCTTGTTTAGATGTGGTTTTGTGTGTGTGTGTGTGTGTGTGTGTGTGTTTAACTTTTTTTTTAACTGAAAATATTAACAAATCTAGAAGACAATACACACCCATAGATCTGTGTGAATACAATATATCAAGCTCTAAATCGTTCTTAGCCTATAAGGGTTGTGAATTTATTTATTTATTTAACGATACAATAAAAACAATTTCAGTTAAAATTCCAAAGTTCCCAAATAACGAAAATGTTCAGACATGACAATTGGTTATTATTTTCTGTCTTTTTGTCTTTTTTTTTAACTATTAAAATTGTTTTTATTAAAACCGTGGTAATAAATCTCGGTTAATACTTGCACGTGATTTACAGTGTTTAAAGGATGTGTATATGGTTGTATAGAACCCTTCTCGTATCACAGAAGAAAAACACTTCATGTAGGTGTTTTCAGTTTGAATAATCTATTTGATAAGTTAATGAAGAGAATTCTTAAACAGCTATCCGTGAACTATATTTCATCAAAATTGGATATATTGATTAGCCTGCACCTCAGTCTAGAATTAAAAGTCAGAAGTTGGAATACTTATTTCAGATGTAGGATTAATTCCTATTTGGACAGCTTACCGAGTCACATTTTGTTTTTTTTGTTTTTTTTTGTTTTTTTTTGGACTACGGGTAAGCCAAAGCAGACCTATGATGACTAGGTGTTCTATATTTTTTTTTAAACTTTTAAGAATTTGATTTTTAACATATTTTCTTCATTAACGTTTAAGAATGCGACCTTAATTCCACCAGTTCTAAATCTGCTGGTCTTAAGACCGGATAAAAAGGAAGGAAGACATGAAAGATAAAAGCTTAATAGTCGTGTGGAAAAAGCGCAAATGTCATGAATGTCCTATCAAGCAGCGCATAAGCCTGCATCGAATAGGACATACTATATTTGCAATTAATAACAGGATAGATCTTGAGATGCAGTAGTAAGATCTTGGTACGTTTGAAAGACGATTAATGATGTTGATAAACTTGGGGAAACCTATGAATTATGATTGTCCTTTTGCTCACTTTTGTCTCTCGTCTTCTTTTTTATTTGGGTGGGGGGGGGGGGGGGGGGGGATAATGACTGTAATTACGAGAATAGCCATTGAATAATATATATACGTACAATATATATATAATGTTCACACAATCATATCATTCGATGATTATTTGTTTAACGTCTATCTTTTTCTAATAAAAGTCAATGATCTCTCACCATTTAGGTTGATTGCCGAGTGAACTTTTTGCAGCATGCTAATATATGATATATTTTTGTATTCTTGTTATATATCTTTATCCATGTAAAGACATGTGCCTCGATACTGGTTGATGCACTTTGATTGTTTACAGGAGTAAAGTAACTCAGTAAAACAGTGAATGCTGAAATTATCAACACCCGTGACAATCATGTTTTATTCAGTGTTTGGGACAGCTGTGCATTTGTCATTTAGTGGAAAAAGATTTCAGAATATAGAATAAAACCATGTTTTTTTTCAAACATAGAAATAACATTTCTGATGAAACATGATGTCACATTTGTGGATACGATACTGTTAATTTTACGTTCGTTACCATACGGAACAGGGGCGGATCCAGCCATTTTTAAAGGGGGGGGGGTTCCCAACCCAGGATAAAAGGGGGTTCCAACTATATGTCCCCATTCAAATGCATTGATCGTCAAAAAAGGGGGGTTCCAACCCTCCGGACCCCCCCCCCCCCCCCCCCTCCTGGATCCGCCACTGCGGAATCAGTGTCCGAAAAAACTGTCATACACTATGGAAACACTATGGAAACAGCTTGAAACTTGCATATCTGGGAAAGGTTTGTTTAAAATATATATAAAAAAAATGTTAGCGTAAAGTCATACTCCTTAAATACGACTTGCATTTTTCTTATGACTAGAATGTTTATAAAACAGTTTGTGTGGTGTATATACGTTAACGTAACAACAGCCCAGCAGCCAAATGTCAGCTTTATTTTTACCATAAATGGTTCTTTATAGATGGCGCTCCATAAAGAGACTGCCATTGAATATTTTTTTTATAGTTTATATATATAAAGTATTTGTTATGAATGTATCATTGATGAACAATTTTAAATCAATATAAAAACATTGCATTGAGAGCCAATTGCATGGTGTTCTGGCAGGTTGTCTTGTTCAGGTTAATAAACGGATCGGTTTCGTTTTTTCAAAAAATGGGACAAATCTTGCGATTGCTGAATAATATGGTGCATTATTGTTTAGTATTGCAATTATGACATTTAATTCAATGGTATGATTGATTTCATATTTGACCTTTTTACATGCCAGTAGCATGTCGTTTTAAAAAATGTACTAGAAACAACAAATACACGACAAAAAACAAAAACGGACAGGACAGACTGACAGAATCAAAGTCACCATTTTAATCAAATATTGATCTTTAGACCTACATGTAATTTTAGAGTGATATTTAACTATTTTTCAGATATTGAAATCAAGCCATCACAACGTGGATCAATAGCCTTTTCCGTAACACGGAAATCTGACATCACGTTGTTTCCCTTTCAAACACTGGTATTTGACAAAGTTTACTCAAATGAAGGCGGAGGATACAAATAAAGGCAACAGTAGTATACCGCTGTTCGAAACTCATAAATCGATAGAGATAAAAACAAATCCGGGTTACAAACTAAAACTGAGGGAAACGCATCAAATATAAGAGGAGAACAACGACTCAACAAAAACACAACATTAAAATGTAACACTCACAGAAACGAACTATAATATAACAATGGCCATTTTCCTGACTTGGTACAGGACATTTTAAGAAAAAAATGGTGGGTTGAACCTGGTTTTGTGGCATGCCAAACCTCCCGCTTTTATGGCAACGTCAAACACAACACCAAAACGACAACATCACATGACAGGACTACAATACAAATAAATGGGAGAACATATAGGACAAAGAAACACACGAATAATAGCTAACAAAAGGTACTAGGCTTAAAATTCAATACGCCAGACGTGCGTCTCGTCCACACAAGACCAACCTGTGACGCTCAGATGAAAAAAGTTTGAAAGCCAAAACAAGTACAAAGCTGAAGAGCACCAAGGACCAAAACTTCCAAAAAGTTGCACCTAACACGGCCAGGGTTTTCTGCCTGGGACAAGAACATCCTTATTATTTAGAATAATTTATAATTTTGCAAACAGTAAATTTTATAAAATGACTATATAATAGATATACATGATAAAACCGAAGTGGGGACTAACTACAGAATAAAACGGATACATTCTTAAAACAACTTAATCCAACACATAAAAATACACAGCCGAGTTAGCCAAAGCCTCAACGCACAAAGTGACGTCACATTTGAAATTCTAAAAAAAACACACAAAGTGACGTCACATTTGAATTTGTAAAAATATTTCCCAAAAATAAGATAGGATTAGGATTGATTCAAGATAAGATTTGTAATACTGACATTACATTTATTGATAACAATGAAAATTACAATACTTATTAATATCAAATTGTGGTAGTAATTAGATAATTAATTGTATTATCTACGCACACACCGGTCTTTTTACTGCTCCTGTAAACGGAATGTATTACTTTGCAGTGTCTTTCCTCGCAGCTGGTGGAAGCACTCATCTACTGTTGCTAAGGAACAATCATGAAGTTGCTCGTGGCTATGGTAGTAGTCACGATGCTACCGGGTCTATTGTTTTAACTATTCAATTGAAAAGAGGAGATGCCGTTAGAGTATCTGAAATAATTGGACAAGGACACGAGAGGATATTTGGAGATGGTTGGAGTAGTTTTACTGGCTATAAATTAAACTGAACTATTTTTTGCGCTTGTCTAAAAAAATAAAACAGAGGAAATTTAATGTGTTTCTTGGCTTAGTTTAATTTTAGTATGATACAATCCCATGTTGACTAAGTACTTTTTTTTTGTTATTGCTATTGCCATCTTTAGACGTCCAACGTTTGACGTCCATTGTTCGTCGTTCTTTGTCATCAATATCCATAGTATTTCATTTTTTTTAAACAACGCCATTATTAACCTTGGTCTATGTATGAGAAACTAACCCCTGCTCATTTATTTTTTTCAAATGGAGTTGACTGCATTTTTACAACATAATAGCACAATGTCCTTTTTAAAATTACTGGTAGTCAATATAATGAAGCGAAGCCAATTGGTGGTACTAGCTTCTAGTCTCAAGTTCTCAGCCCAAATAATCATCAAGATGCAGCTACGTATACTACAGGAAAAATAAGCACCTCATGCACGAGTGTATAGTTTGGAAGTACTTTGTCGAATTTTTCTTTGTAAACATCAAATACTTATGAAAGGATTTAGA